TGTGTATATATATATATATATATATATATATATATATATATATATATATATACATACTGTATATATGTCAGTGTCTTTTTCTTTTAGGTCTAGAAGTTACGGAAACTAGTTTTAGGCTGCTCCCAACCCTCCCCCATATTAGTGGCCTTAATTGGTTCACGGAGAAAACAACTCTGGCGTAGTTTTTGACAAATGCCTTTCGAGAGTTGGGGGTTGAAATCCACAGACCCGTGTCGCCGTGTGTATGTGATTCTGGCATAGCTATATTTCTGGGAACTTGTTTTGGAAAACTACTTTTATGGTGGGGACATTTTGCAGAAGGAAGTCGGGAATGTGTGCTCACAAGACACCAAAAACCAGTATGTGTGTGAGCACTGACATTTAGTGTAAGGAACAATAGAGGAGAAGTCCAGTATTTTCTTGCACAGATCAGGTACCAAGGAGACTCATGGGAAATAGTTGTGTGTGTGACTGTGATACTATAACGACCTGTCCTCTGCCCACCTCCTCGCTCTCTCTGCCCTCCAGCCCTGGCCATTCACCCCCCCCCATGAGAAAGTCATCTGTCTGACGTTTACGTTGTAAACCTATACAACCTGTACTGGATGTTTTCGTCCTGTTTTCCTTTTTTTTCTTTTCTCTTCCAAGTGCACTTTCTTTTTTTTTCTTTTCTCTTCCAAGTGCACAGATTAAGGTCAAGGTCAATTTACAGATTTTTTTCTTTTACACAAAAATATTTTGTTTCTCCAGCAGCTTCTCGTAAACATCATCACAAAGACGGTTGGGTCGAAAAGACAAAACTGATTCATAAACAAACTTAACATTCACACCATTTACACCAGGAAGCTAGGAAGTGAATTATTTCAAAAATGGACAAACTAATGACTAATCTGAGTCCGACTTCTACACTTTAAAAAAATGACTCAGTTCTTTGAAAGTTTTCATACAAGTCTGGGTCTAAATTGGACGTAAATGGACTTTTTAAATGTCTAGAAATCCACTGTTGTCAGTGTGGTCGCCGAGCCGGGCCAGATTAATAATCAGATCAGACAGTCTGCTTGCATCTACACTGGGGTTTGTTTGGGCCGGCAGCAGCTCTGAGGCAATCAGAGACACTTCAGCTGTGATTAAGTCACACACTTAAACCCCTAGAGGCCAGGAGGAGAAAGGAAGGAAAGAATGAGTGATGAAGCCCTCGCTCCACGGAGAGGCAGCGTACAAGGGTTGACCGTTCAGGATCACTAATGTTAGTCTATACATCCTCATATAGGTTTCCCTCATGACCTCTGCCCCGCCCACTCCTATCCATCAACCAAATGCGCAGCGTGGCCCATTCCCCCCCACTGGGCTCAGTAACCAACACCGTGGCAGCTGCTCACGTAATGTTCTTACTGCCTGGCAAAATCAATTGCTGCTTATTAATAACAGCTACAGTGTAAATATCTGTACTGCTAAGGAGATGGATGGAAGTGGAAGAAGAAAAAAAAAAAAAAAGGGCTGAGATTGCGATGGCGGCGCGGGGAGCAGCCGGGGTCACGGAACATGCTCCTAGAAATCAATTTTCACACAGGAGGACTATTAGGTTATTGAGAAGTGGGATGACGGATCATGCGTGTGTGTGTGTGTGTGTGTGTGTGTGTGTGTGTGTGTACTTCCTGTAAATGACTTTACTGTGTGTGCTTACTGTAAATTACTTGACAATATTTCAGGAAAATCCCACGACCGAAGAACGGGTGGTTTCTCTTCTTACTCACACTCAACTAATGATCACTGGTCAGTAAATGGCAGATGTGGAGGAAAGTGATCCAGTTGGTCTGTTCCATTTATCGGTCCACACAGTGGGTTCAATCTTTAGACCTCTCCTTGTGCGGTCTCCAGAAACAGGGAAAAAGAAAAACCGGCCTCCGGAGGAAATTCCACAGCGCTAGCCGACTCGGAGCTGCTAATACAGCTAATGCAGTAATGTAAGGGCCGAGGCGATTAATGAGAGCGCTCTGGCCCTGACATCTCAGACACCCTAATGTTGCTGCAGTGTCTCCCGAGCCGTGCTTTAATCCATCACTGGTCCCTGTAACCCAATTATGGCCTGACACTTTTCTTTTAGCTCCTCTGCTTCTGGGTCCTTCACACACATCCACAAAAGGGCAAACATCATGGACACACACACACACACACACTTAGATAAGAATGTATTGGCATCAGACAACCGCCATCAGACAAAAAAAAAAAAAAAAATTGCTGTTCCTCTGTAGCCGTCAGAGAAGTTTGGACTTCTCTGGTTTGGAGTTTATTAATCGTAAATTCAGATCCCATTTAGAGGAAAATAGATGGTAAATCATAACACACGTTAAAGCCAACGTTGTGTTTGATTGACAGCAGGGAAGTTTTATGTGGGTTGCGCAGTTTTACAACATTTACCGACAGTGTCTCATTCAACTGAGTCTCAGTCTTTCAGCTTCTACTGCTCGTGCCTATCCAGCGTCATGTGGCAGCTGTAGCCAATCCCAGCAGTCATTAGGGGAGGGTGGGATAACAAACTGAAATATGTATATTCATTTTTTTTACATGCCACAAATTGGCCCCAAGGAGGAAAAAAAAAACGAACAAACGAATGAACGAATGAACAAACTAACGAACTAACGAACTAGCCAAGAGAGCATTTAGATGTCAATCAGTTAAGAGTCACTTCCTGCTATTTTGTTCTCCTGTGAAGGTCCCACAGCAAGAAGATCAAAGGCTCAAACCCTGTTGGCAACTAATGGTCTTTCTGTCTGGACCTCAGATGTTACCTGTGTGATTGTTGGGTGATGGATGGATGGATGGATGATTGGATGGATGGATCGGTCGGTCGAGCGATAGAATTCCAGAAAAATATAGTAAATAACTTGGTGACACTGGCTATATATATTTGGCATATAATTACTTGTAGTGATTGTTGTACTTGTACCAGTTGGTAAAAACGATCAGGTCGAGAGTCGAGCTCCTCCTCTTTTTGTACACCGTCCATGTTTTCTTCATACGTTACTGTACCTCCCAGTTCAAACTGTATATTTAACCTTTGCCCCCGTGGAGAGGCCTAGCTCCTCTGAACATTGCTTCACTGCCGTGATATTCTGTTTCCATATTCAGAGCTGAGGCCTGAATTAACCAACTTCCTGTTTTCATTATTGTCATCTCCATGAAACTCCTCCCTTGTTATGATTGTAATCAGAGCATGATGCTACACTAACATGCCTCATTCCCAGAGGTACATCAGGCCTCCGTTTTAGCTAACCAGGGGCCGGGGGGGTGGGGTTGCAGAGGGGAGGGGGCATACACGCTGCATTTTTCATGAAGTCCCCTGTGCAACATTTATGATTCACCCTGAAGGCTTAAAAACAACACTTAACTCCATATCCCGCTAGGATCACCCCAACATCTGGAACACTCTGTACACCGGGGCATTTGTGATACACTGCAGGTACATACGCAAACAGCCCTGACCTCCCTGAAGCCAGCACGGTTCTCCATGCCCTTTCCCTGTCAGTCGGTTATGTCACATGCAGAGTAACAGCTCTGTCAATCAGAAGATCTATGCGCTCGCTTCCTCTAAATCAGGTGGATTGACTCCTTAAGAGTTACTGGAGGAGCCGACTTCCATTAGCCACTCCCCAACTGCAAATTAACTTAAATGTAGCCGCTCAATAAAGTTCAAGACAATCATTTGCATGTCAGTGTCCTTTTCTTCCTCCCAAACACACAGCTGATGCAGCAAATCCTCAGATCGCTGTCACTCCTCTGCGCAACTACCAATTAGCCAGAAAGCTAACAGTAAAACGGAGCTGGTGATTTAGAAGTATGAAATGCTAAACATAAACACAAATCTTTGATTATTTGCTTTAAGTTCTCTAATCGGATTTCTCTCCAAATTTTTTCCAGTATTTATTTAATTTCAATTCAATTCAATTTTGAATGCATTATTACATTGTGGCGTGACTTTAGAGCAGCGGTGTTCACACCTGTTTGGCTTAGAAGCTACTGTTCAAACGTCCAGGCTAAAGCCATGTACCTGCAGTGAAAATTAGAAAAAAAAAAAATATATATATATATATAAAGAATTAATATGTTGAATATTTATCTAAATATTTAAACATATGTATTTTAATATTTTTTATGTTAATTGTTTATGTTCTACCAGCGCTCTCCACTGGTAGAACCTGATCTATTTATTGGAACTCATCAGTTCTTTGGCCAACAGCAGGGGTTACTTTTATTTATACTTAGTTATGTTATTATATGTATGTTTCAGCCAACTCTTTTTTCATACACTTTCTTTCATTGTTAATATAAAAGTTGAAGCTGATTTTGAGCTAAGGTCAAGGTACATGTAAGACCCCTGGGATCACAGCAATCCTTTGATTTAACCCGAAAAATTGGTGCATCCTTTGGTTTTTTAAATAGAGATTTTATTTCTTATTTATTTCTCATGTTGAGTTGTTTAAAAAGGAAAGCAAAGTCCATCCATCCATCCATCCATCCTTCCATCCATCCATCCATCCATGTGTCCTGTCACTATTAGACTCCGTCATTAGGTTTTATAAACCTGTGACTCTAGAAGTCCTTTGAGCCTTAAAGGAAATACAAAATGTTTCTGAACATCAGTTTATCTAATGAATTTAAATGTTTGTGTCTACAGCTCCGGATCCCACTCCACTCGTCTCCACTCCACTCCACTGCAGCCCCTGGGCGTCTTCAGCATCGGATGTCATCCTGCAGGAGACAAAGTAAGTCAGACAAACACGTAGGCCGGACTCTGTGGAGAACCTTGACGAATGCTCAAGTGCTGTAAGTGCCCGGGAGTCGTCTTACAAGAAACACTTATTGCATTTTGTATTGAGCATGATGGTATGAAAAATTAATACCGGGGGATAGTGTGTGTCTTCCTCTCCTCCGCCTGTGCGAGTGAGTATCACTGTGCATTTGTATGCATGCAGATGCAAATGCATCGTCTGACTTGTGTTTGGTCGCATATATGATTTCAACGCTGATTCCAAAAGGCTGATTCTACATTTCCACGCTTGCTCTCCGCTCCCATCTCCACAGCTGCATTATTGACAACAGTTCCGCACAGGCCTCAGGCAATTTACTGCGTTTAGGGTATTTATCCCCCTCGGTTAGCGCCCTTATCGACTCGTCTATTGGCAAAACAACAGTAAAAAAAATATTACCTCAAAGTCAATGATATAGGTTTTAAAAGCTAAAACAGCTGAAAACAACGCTGCACAAAAATCGAAGTACTTTACAGTAATGTATGTGAAACACATTGTGATATGTTACACATTACAAACACACCAGGATATCATGTTTCTGACCCGTTTTTATGAAAGTACTTAAGCCAGAGTCCTTTGAACTTTGCTCATGTCAGTTCCCAGGAATTACCTTCATTTTTTTCCCGAAGCATTTATTCCCTCTTCGGTGCCATCTTTGTTTCATTTTATATTTGCAGTTAACCTGCGCTCTTTAAATCATGACGGATTAGTCGGAGCAGATCAAAGGAAATGTCATGGAAATAGATTGCACATGAAAAATAATTTGAAATACTTTTTTCTCAGGTTTCAAATCATCTGCTCTGGCATTGGTTGGGAGTGAAAGGACTTTTAAGGTTTCCCTCCCATTTGATTTTTAAGGAAATATTTTATCTTTTTTGGGAACACAGTTGGTGCACGGGTAGACGCTCTGAAGCTCTGAGTCGTACAAGAAGCATTCTGGGACTTCGGGTGGCGAGAGGGTTGATTGGTAACAGCTTGAAGTGTTAGGTTCAAGGTTTCCGTATTTTGTCGTTTTTGTATTTGGATACAACGTAGAACGGCTCCACTGAAATGTCTGGAGTTTGTTACTTATTTACAAATGTACTTTTTTAATTGCATACTGCTGTTGTAATGGTATTTCAGACCAATAGATGTTGCGTATCGGTAGCAGAGACGATGATTGGACAGACTAGCGGTGCTAGCTGCCCACTCTGTGGACTGTGAACTTTTGACCTAATGGATTGTAACATGAAGGACTCACTGCACAACGTGGACTATGTCAACGGACAACGGACTATTGTACATAATGCCCAGGTTCAAACCCAGTTCCTGTCATCTGTGTATTTGATCAAAAATCAGATCCAAATGAACGTCCCTTGTTTATACGACCTGAACGGTCAGGTCGTATCAGTGGAGAACATGAAGGATCTGGATGACGTGAAGCCTCCAGATATGAAGTCCGTATGAATAAGAGTATTTCAGATTCCTACCTCAGCCCTAAAGCTAAACGGTACTGGAAATACGACGCGATGTCACAGACGTGCGGTTTAATGTTTAGATAAGACCTCGTCTGTCGTCTGTCGTCTGCGGTGTGATGCCCCACACTTCATTTGTCTTCTGTTTTTAGAAAACAACCAAATGCTTCAGGCACTGGTCGTACTGACTCCCACCACTACACACTGCAGCAATTATCCTCCGTCCCTGACTCCAATCCCTGATCCCAGGTTACTTCCACCACAACGGAGACACTTCCAAACCACATATTCACACACTCTCATCCACACCCTGAGGGGAAACCCAATAGGTCCGCAGCGAGTGCTTCGTAGCGCCTCGGCTCTCCACCTCAGCCTTGTTGCTTCGTACTGCCTCTGGGGCTGAGAATGAAGCCCCGGTTCAGATAACCTCGTGCTAAAGAAAAGCCAATAATACAGTGATAACAGGGACGAATCACAAATCGTGTCTGAAACACAGTGATGTTGAGACGTAGGAGTGATCTATCGGAGCCAACACCGAGTTTGCCACGACCTTTATCACAGGAAGGTCAAATAGTCAAGGAATCTGAAGATTCAAGGGAGACAAAGATGTTGACGACCTAATTGTTAGCGTCAACAGCTAACCTGCAAAGGTTCTTACAGCAATTGTTCTAGGAGATTCCACAATTAGCAGGTTAATGGATTACCGAAATGTATCAAAACTGTGTACGATAGAAATGTTTACGAAGGTTTATATTAGTAAGATATCTAAGAAGTCAGGATCGAATGTCCGAAACTGCTGCTAAATGTTTATGACTTGAAAGTCAGGATCGAATGTCCGAAACCTTAGGATGGAAACTGCTGCTAAATGTTTATGACTTGGTTTGAATGAACAAAGTTCCACAGACAAAATCATCAAACTTTAAGTAAAAGTTCCCTTTTCTCCTCCTCAAATGTCAAACGTTGACCAAACCATTAGCTAACCATGAACAGCTGTCCTTACTGGACTGTCCTGCCTGCACTCTAGATCTGTCTCCCATTCAAACTACATGTCGTGGATACAAGCAGCTGAAATGGGTTTTCTCCACTGAGGCAATGAGAGAGACTTGACTCCTGAACGTAGAAACGTGGCGGTTGAGGTGGTCAGGGTGACTTTCAAGGAAGGTGTTTCTGACATGTCCAACTGGACATGAGACTCAGGGAAGGTCCAACACCAGGTGGAGACATTTTATCTCCACTCTCTCCTGCATGGGGATCCCCCAGTCTGGGTTAGCCCACGTGGAAGTCGGGGGCTTTTTGCTTAAGTTTCTGTTCCCACAACCTGATCCTGGATGAGCGGATGGATGGATGGATGGATGGATGGATGGATGGATGGATGGATGGATGAAATCATATCACGTTTAGAAGTGTCAGATAAATACCTACAGACTGTTTGGTTCCCATCTTTTGATGTACATTTCCAGGCACCGATTTCCAAAACGTTTCCCGTTTAAAAGCTTCTTCTTCTTCTTTTTCTGTTGTAAATCAAATGCATTACTAAGAAAGTTCGCTTTTAGGGTTTTTGTTGTTTTTTTTTTGTACTGCATTTTAGCCAGTGTTCCTGCGTTTGATTGTATCTCATCGTTGTACAATCTGAGGTCAAGTGCTGCATCAAACCCTTGTTAAAGTGAGTTCTGCCTCCAGAATGAAACACACGCAGTGAGATGATGGTTTCTTATGATATCGATCCCACGTCTTTGCCCGCTCAAACCTCTCAAGGCCAACATTAAAATGTCTCGCTTCCTATCTGCCTCCTTAATGACTCTCACCCACACACACTCCATTCTCTTTGCCTCTGTCTCTTCACTCCTTGATATTAAGTGCGTGTGAATGTCTATGGACTGTTAAGGTTGCTTTTGTACACTTTACTGGTTATGGACGCCTTAAGAGCTTATGGATTAAAAGAAGGATGTTCAGAGTGAGTGCACGACCAGGCATTAGGAGCTCTTTATTAGCTAATCACGCGGACAATGGGTTTAAAGCACTCCTATAAAACAATATAATGACGAAGGCAGGAGGCGCAGGTTTCTCTCTCCATTTACATTAATTAAAGCGGCTGCTGCGCTCGTTTTGGAGCAATTAAGAGAGTGCCGATGATAAACAGGGGCCAGACATGATTTTAAGGAGACGATAATGATATCATATGTTTGCGTAGGAATTACCTCGTATTAGAAAATTAATTACTCGCCGTTGAAACCCTGAATGCGTAGCTTCGCAACGGAGGACAAAGTAAATCCATCGATTTTTTTTTTGCTCGTGTTCTGTGGAAAATCAATCACACTGTGACAGCGGAAATATATTTAAATGTATATTTTATCCATCGTATAATGGTCTGAGATGAACTCTAACATAATGTATGCCATTTATATTAAAGGGTCTTTTTTGACCTTCGTGTTCACATGTGTCACTATCACAGAATTAGCTAATGCTAATGCTAATTAGAGGAAGCAACTTCGTTTACATTTGGCGGTTGTTCGCCCTACGTTGAATTGGGCTGGATTTGCTTTTTGTAGTTTGTGTTGGTTTTGTGGGGACTTTTCCTCCTTTCTTCTGTCTTCCAGGCATAAGTCAAACTCAGACTATGATGTTGTCCCTGTGCTAGCATAGATGCATAGATGAGTGATAAACTGTAGGTACGTATGTACAGAATGTGAGTCCAGACTTATTCTGAAGATTTCTACGTTACGGCATAGAAACAGAATTCTGATTTAAGTCGAGGACCTCCTGCATTTAAAAAAAAAAAAATCCTGTCCGTCTGTTTTTGCCACAGTCTGATTCTTTACTTCATGGACTGCAGGCTGGTCGGTCCAGGACTTTCGAGTAATACTTTTTGCAAAAAGTATGCCTAGGTTTTACTGTCACTGAAGTCACACTTTCGAGTAATAATTTTTGCAAAAAGTATGCCTGGGTTTTATATTTTGTTGAAAACCTAAATCACAGATTTTTTTTTCTGAGGACTTTTTTGGAAGTGTAGTTTGTGTGAGTGCCAACACCCCCCTCCACCCACCTGTCAATCTCACAAAATGTCTCCAACCATCAACTGTCCGTCAGCTGTTGGCAGCTGGGCAGATGAGAGACAGGCAGACAGATCTGTGGTCGCTGTAATTCTTGGGTTTTTATCGACGTTCATCACCCCGTCTGATGATGATCACGGAGCCAGGAGGAAGTTTGGGACGTGTGTGTGATGTGAGAAAAGCTGACAGGTCCAAACCGGCCCAGACACCAAGGGTGGAGGCTGACAGACTTCAGTTGATTTTAAAAAAAAACATTTGGAGAACAATATGAAATAGTTCGTTTTTTTTTTTTTGTCCTTGTACAATGTTTCCGTGTTAATTTTATGACATGACGTTACAGCATTTTGACTATCATATCTTTTATTTAACTCGTCGTTACCGTATCCTAGCTTAAGCTAACATTTTGTTACTTCTGGCCGCCCTTTAATTAGCATTTTATGAACTTACAGCT